CAACACCAGCTCCCGGAAGACAAGAGTCTCCTACAACCACGGGCTCAGCTCCAACTCCAGCACCCCCAGAGCTAGCACCAGTAGGGCCCTCTCCACGAGCACCGGCTCCCACAGGGTCTGCAGCAGGCTGCGAGGAGGACTGCGGGGAAGGAGGCTGCACCTGAGGGGCGACCGAGGGGGGAGGGGTAGCCTGGGACACACCTGACGGGGCGGGACCAGGGGGGGGAGGCTGTACCGGGGGAGCAGGAGGGGGAGCGGAAGTCAGGAAGAGAGGGGGAGGAGGAACCGGGAGACCTCGACTGGGGTACCTGACGTAGTAGGGGGTGGACTCCTCGAAACGGACGTCACGAGAGTCAAAGAACCGGTGAGAGGGAGGGTGGTAAAAGGTGAAGTCAGAGGAGTCCTCAGGGAAACCAAGGAAGACACAGGGAACGGCGCGAGGCGAGAGCTTGTCCGCGGAAGTGTCGCGGACAAGAGCCAAGCAACCCCAGACACGAAACCTCGACGCAACACCAGGGGACCCGGTCCAAAGACTGGTCGGTGAAGCCTCTGGCCGAGAGACACGTGGCCAGAGGTTCAGCTGGTGAGCGGCGTACCTAACCGCGTAGGGCCACAGAAAATGGGGGGCACGGGCGTGAGTCAAGGAGGTGCGGGCGATCTTCATGACCAAGCCTATGCGGCGCTCAGCAACCCCATTCTGCTGTGGGGACTCTGGAAGCGTCCAGGACTGACGAATGCCCTGCTCGCGACAGAATCCAGCCAGAATGCCGGAGCGAAACTCACCCCCACGGTCAGAGTGAAGACAGCTGACACGACGACCACGAGTGCCCTCAGTGGTAAGCAACCACCTGATCAGCGTAGAAGTCACCTCAGACTTCTTCGCCAGGGGGAACACTGTGGTGTAACGGGAGTAGTCGTCAACGACCACCAAAAAGAAACGCTCGCGCTCAGGGCCAAGGCGAGGGGCGGGGCCCCAGACGTCCAAGTGGAGCGTCTCAAAAGGCTCGGTGGCCGGACGAAGGGAGGAGGAGTGAGGGGTGGCGCGCAGCCGACCCTCGACGCAGGGACCGCACGGCGGTGCAAGCGAAGGCGGGAGCGACGGCAGGACACGCGGGAGGCCTAAGACAAGACGCTGACGAGACATAGCGCGCAGACGAGGGAGGGACGGGTGCCCCGTCCGGTGGTGCCACAGAACGGTGGGGTGTGCAAGTGACCGGCAGGAGCACGACGCAGCAACTGGACCAGACACGGGAACCTGACCAGACAGAGCTACCTGGGGGGACGCAGCAACCTGGTGAGACGCAGGGACCAGACTGGGGGAAGTAACCGGGGCCGGGGGGAGGACTCGCCGCTGCTGCTGCTGCCGCTCCTGCTGCTGCTGCTGCGGCTGCTGCTGCTGCTGCTGCCCTCCAGGGCCAGTGTGAAGTGTGTAGAGACCAGAGCCCGGCTCGGCAGTAAAGGTGGCAAGAGGCGAGTAAGTGTCGCCGTCAACACAAACCGCCGTCTCACCAGAGGGCTCAATCCACACACCCACGTGCTGACTCACAAGAGGCCTCACGCCCACCAAGTTCCTCGAGAACGAGGGGACGTGGAAGCCAGTCAGAGACCCAGAGGGAACAGCAGGGCAAGGAAGAGTAGTAGTGTAGCGAGCAGTGACTGGTCCCGAGGTGGGATCAGCCAGGGCCACAGAGACTGGCGCAGGAAGTGGAGTAAGTGTCGTGTGGTCGCGGAAGAAGCAGTGCGAAGCCCCAGAGTCCAGAGTGAAAGACAGCGAAGCGTCCTCCGAAGTAGCGCCTGGACTAGTGTCTACACAAGTGCCTGCACTAGCAACAGGCAACTCAGCAAGACTAGCACCTAAGCTAACAACACTCGAGTAAACAGAGTCAGAAGCACTAGAGTCAACAACAGCATACATAGCATGAGGAGTTCCTAAGAGATCAAGCAACTGAGAAGCAGACATGCCCCAAAGAGCGGAGCCATACGTCTGAACAAGAGGTAACCAATCAGGGGCAGGGCCGCCAACGCCGAAGGCCAAGCGAACCGTGTCAGTGAGCTGAGCAAAGCACTGACCAGGAGGGTGGGTGCGGCCACAAGGCTGGCCTCGGCGAGCACCTGTCAGAACCTGATAGGTGCACGAAGGGTGAACAACACCTCGCTGAGGCTGACGCTGTCCTGGCCCCGAATCCTGCTGCTGCCGCTGCTGCTGCGGGGGCTGCTGCAAGGGGAGGGGCTGCTGCTGCTGCTGCCGCTGGGCCAGGTACCACGCCGCTGCTCCACCCGCCGCGGCCGGCAGACCAGAAGGTGGCTGACGAGCCCGGGCGTCGCCTCCACCGGCTGCAGTAGCGGAGTCACCGGCCGCTGCACGCGACGCCTCTCCTGGTCCTGCACTCCCGCCACCACCAGTCGGCACGCCACCCCCACCACCTCCGCCGCCAACGCCTCCACCGCCGCCGCCACCTGTACCCTGACCGCCCCTCTTGCCACCTCTACCTCGAGACCGCGAAGAAGTCGTAACAGCAGCTGCGGTCACGTCAGTAGCAGCAGTGGCGAGAGAGGCTGTAAAGGTGGGCAGCTGAGGGACAGTGCACCCGTGGAACAGTGGAGGGGGCACAGCACCAGAGGCGGAGGCTACAGAGCGGAGGTTGCTCTCAACGTCCTTGAGCGCAGACTCAAGGACCTCGATAGTGAGCTCACTAGGGTGCTTCAGAAGAAGCGTGTCACGAACCGAGGCAAGGCGGTCAGGGAGGCTAGTGGCAATGAAGTAGATAGTAAGCGCCATAGGAGGGGGAAGCAGTGCAATTTGTGCGTCAGTGCAAGCTGCGCGGTAGCTAGAATCGAGCGAGCGGAGGTGAGCAATCAAGTCAGCCGAGCGCTCAAACGAGGCGAGGTCAGGGAACAAGAACGGGAGGAAGAGGCGGCCAAGGGAGACAGTGGTGGGAGTAGCGTAGCGGGCCTTGATCGCAGTCAGGAACTCACTAGCAGTGCAAACCTGAGTGAAGTGGGTCTCCTCAGACTCAGGGAGGAGGCTGCTAAGAGCGATGCAGGCCGCAGCGTCACGCGACTTCCACGCCGTCAGGTCAGCACGCTGGCGGGTAAAGCGGTCTCTGGCGGCGTCGTCAGGGGCAGGGCCTAAAGGCGTAGGGTCGTCGGGCGCAGGAAGGTCGCCAGTAGCGTGCGCCCAGAGGGACTCGCCCGCCTGGACCTGACTCTCTAGAAGGCGACGCGCGCGTAGGAGCCAGACCGGAAACTCGAGCGGTCTACCGTCAGCGTCAAAACGAAGAACCCTAGGGGTCGCCATAGCAAAAGCAAAGTGGCAGGAAGTTCTGCTGCTGAAACCCTAATCAGTGAGAATGACTCAGTAGGGCGCTACGGGACATAGGGTAGGGCGCAACACTGCTGGACTAGGAGGGCGCAGCGCCATGGGCAGGGGTAGCGCGACGCGACGCAGCGGGACAGGACGGGCAGCGCGACACGACGCGACGCGACGGGACGGGACGGACTGCGCGACGCGGACGGGCAGCGCGACGCGACTGGACGGGACGGACGGGACGGGACGGGACGGACGGACGGGACGGGACGGGACGGACGGACGGGACGGACGGACGGGACAGGACGGGACGGGACGGACGGACGGGACGGACGGACGGGACGGGACGGACGGACGGGACGAACGGACGGGACGGGACGGGACGGGACGGGACGGACGGACGGGACGGACGGACGGGACGGGACGGGACGGGACGGGACGGACGGCGCGACGCGGACAGGCAGCGCGACGCGGACGGACGGGACGGGACTGAAGGCGCGACGCGGACAGGCAGCGCGACGCGGACGGACGGGACGGGACTGAAGGCGCGACGCGGACGGGCAGCGTGGCGCGGACGGACGGCGCAGCGGGCGCTAGGGCCCGAGAGGGACGTAACGGCAGGCGCAGCGGGCGCTAGGGCACGAGAGGGACGTAACGGCAGGCGCAGCGGGCGCTAGGGCACGAGAGGGACGTAACGGCAGGCGCAGCGGGCGCGAGGGCACGAGAGCGACGTAACGGTAGGCGCGATAGGCGCTAGGGCACAGTACGAGCGTAACGGGCACTAGGGTACGGGACAGGCTCGGGCGCTACGGACGTGAACGAGAGGAACGGGATCCCACAGGATCCTAACCTAGGTGATACCATGTCAAGAATGAAAGTGTGTGTTCATTGATGTGGGTTGGGGTACATATAACAAACCCTAACATCTGTACCCCCTAAGACAAACCTCACTAAGGCTACAACATTTGACAATAGGCTACATGTTTGTTACTATATCCCAACTGTATGCCCTCATTCTAGGCATTCGCTCACATTCTGACAGCGTGTACTCATAGTAAAAATAATCTTCAGGCATACCGGTATTAGTGTGCATAAATAAAAAGACAATGACAAGACATAGAATTCAGAATCCGCTAAAACCAGAGTGTAGGGAAAAAATGTGTGACACAATCAGATATACCCTGGTTTCTAGAGACAGAGATGAATCCATGTTAAAAGAAGGACATGCTGGACGCAAAGTATGGACTTAGAAATTTCTCGGAGTGGCCTTACAGGTTTTTTACATACAGTTGACTAACTTACATAAGCAACCCTGGAAAAGAGTGAGATTTGTAATAGGAGAGGACATTGACGCAGCCCGGGGGTAGGACAACTGGCAAGTTCTTTGAACTTGGGCGGTTTCCAGAACATAGATTGATCCCTTGTGGCAGTTCGACTGCTCACCAGATCAGCAAGCATGTGTGTTTGACATGTTTTCCTTCATCGGGATCAGCACATCCACAAGCAACTGTAAGACACTGCCACGTGGTACCAATGAATGAATGTCTATGTTTCTCCCCTACTCTCCCATTTGCATCTTCAGTCAGTCGCAGTTCTGAACCGCCAAGCACTGATTTTCAATTCGTTCGCCCAACCCCTGACTGACCTCTCTTGGAGGCCTAGCTTCTCAGCCATGGCTGTTGCCACGACCTCCATGACTCTCAGGTCCTCTTTCATCGGTGCACCAAGCCTCGATAAGTTCTCTAACCAGGCTATCCGGGTGGTCTCCGTTGCTCCCGCTGTCAGGAGGCCTGCGTCTTTCAAGGTACGCCCGCTTTTTACGGGTTTGACTCGTTCCTGTAGATTACGCAACTGGGAAAGCTTATTCAAATTAAGTGTTTTCTTGCATGTCCAGGTGATGGCAGTGTCGAAGAAGGCTGTCGCTGTTCTGAAGGGAACTGCTGGAGTCGAGGGTGTCGTCAGTCTGCTTCAAGAGGATGACGGTAATGATGTCTAAGCATTTGTGTACGCCAGCATCGGGTTGTCATGAAGGCGCACATCTGACGCTACATACTCTCTGCAAGCAGGCCCCACTACCGTCACTCTCAAGATTAGTGGTCTGGCCCCCGGCAACCACGGTTTCCACTTGGTACGCATTATTGTCAGGTGGCGCATTTCCCCCACGTGATCCCGTTATTTGCACTGACACCATTTACATCAAATTGTGTGCAGCACGAGTTTGGTGACACCACCAACGGCTGCATGTCGACAGGTGAGTTTTTCCGGGGCGGATGCCATGTTTTCTGTATCTTTTAGGTTTTGTTTTCTATCGTGGCTCTCGCAACTGCTACATGAAGTGACGTCACCTGTAAACCCATTGTGTTCGTAACAGGCCCTCACTTCAACCCTAAGGGCTTGACGCACGGTGCTCCTGGTGATGAGGTTCGCCACGCGGGTGACCTCGGCAATGTCGTAGCCAACGCTGAGGGTGTGGCTGAAGCGACCATTGTTGATTCTCAGGTTTGTCTCGCGGAAATGGGTGTTCTTTTCCCAGAGCATAGCTACGTTATGCTTTTGAAGCACTGCCGTACCCGCTTGGCTCGAGGTTCATATATTATCACGCGTTTCACATCTCCCAAGTGCAGATCCCTCTTTCTGGACCCAACTCTGTTGTTGGACGCGCCTTTGTCATCCACGAAGGAGAGGACGATCTTGGCAAGGGTGAGCATTTTCATACATCCACGATACTTTCAAAGGCGGAAGTTGTCTGATTTTGTTCCAGCAGAGCTTGTGAATGGGCTACTAATATACTCCTGCTTCCCAACTGTCGCTTTTGCTGTTTAGGTGGACACGAGCTGAGCAGCACCACTGGAAACGCTGGTGGTCGTCTTGCCTGTGGTGAGTTAATTACTTTCAGTATCTCGTGTACTTCATTTCTGCTATGTTCCATTACTATTCTTACAAAACATTGTGCGTGTTTCCAGGTGTGGTTGGCCTGACTCCCCTGTAATCCAGTAAGCTCTGGGCCTACGGTACTAGCATGCTTGTCAAATACCAACCCTATGGGGAAGTGTGACGTTATCACGCCACATAATTTTACGTGGATTTTGTGTGCTGTGAGTGGCTAAAGGATTATATTAATGGTCACCAGCGTTCCTACCAGGGATGTTGCTAGAAAAAAACCCCGTCTGAAAATCAGACGGGATTTTTTTCCTTCGTCTGAGCGTCAGACGAAAATATATGGCTAGTCTGGAAATTCAGACGAAATATTTTACCAAGTCCTTAAAATCAGATGAAAACGAATCATATGTCTGAGGATGTACAAACATGTAAAACTTAAGTTCCCAAAATCGCATGCCTTTGTAGTGGAATATTTGCTTGAAATTCCTTAGTGTTGGCCTGCTGGCGGAAGGCTGAGAGAGCAGAGAGAACAGGCCCTCAGATTGGTTTTAGGCAACACTTTCTGGTCAGCGTTGGTCCAAAAAAAAAAAACTTTCCTTCAGGGTCCTGTTTTCAAAACACCCTGAAAAATCAGCGTTGTCTCGGAAAAAAAAACTTTCCTATCAGTGTTGATAACAATTAATAGGCTGATTGATTCATTATAGTTCAGCAAGCGAACACTATTAACAATCGCATACAACCACTAATACCACATCGCATCCTCAACACTACCATTAACAATCGCATCCATCAGATTCACCACTCGGACCTTCTCGCTGTCGTGCGCGAGTGGATGCTCTCAATCCGCGCCTGCCTCGTCGCGCCAACGAGCTGTTCCTGCCGATGTTTCGCGAGCTTGTGCTTGTTGGTGGCAGCGTGTCGCGTGAATGCCTGCTTTTGAACGTCGACTGCCCCTTCGGTGCACTTGCCGGTCTTGCCAGACAATCCTGCATGTTCTGTACACAGAGAACACTTGAAGGCAGGGTGACCAGTTGAAGTTTTGACAAGCTGCAACCAGGCAAATTGACCTTGCCAGCGTGTTTTGAACCTATCAAGAGCAATGGCATACAGCTCCTCGGCAGAAGCTGACGGCTGGTTCGAGGCTGCAGCTTCGAGTACGGGCGGAGTGGGCACGTTGGTGGGTGCTGTCGGTGGCGCTGATGAAGGTCGAAGGAAGTTCAACTTTGTCTGGACAAGCCGAGCAGCCGGCGACGCGGATGCAGCTGCGTGAGGGTGAGATGCATGTGGAACGGGCCGACCGGCAGGGGACGCCGCTTCGTGAGCAGCTGGTTGCGTTGCAGGTGGAACGGGCCGACCTGCAGGGGACGCCGCTTCGGGAGCAGCTGGTTGCGATGCAGGTATAACGGGCCGAGATGACGGGGACGCCATCTCAAAACCTGGTGGAAGAGCCGGAGATGTATCCATAGGAGAAGCCGGGGACGGTGCTGCTGCTGTTGACGGCTCGACATGTACCGTAGTGGGTACAGTGTCGGTGACATCGGGTGGCGTTGCGGTGTTAATAACTGGGGCGACAATTGAGTCTGGTGGGGCGGAAGTTACGGTGGGAATAGCCGTAACTGAAGTAACGGGCGGATTCTTGCTACAAGGTGGGATGGCTGCTTTAGAGAGCGAACACAGCAACAGGTCTAGACCCGTGCGGGCTATCTCGATCTCTATGTCGTCAGCATCGTCGTCGGCAGACGCACCATCAACGGGTCCAGCCATGGCGGGAGTATGGACGAGAGCAGGAGGGTGGAGTGGATAGTCAGCCGAGAAACAGCCAGAACGAAGCTCACCTGATCTCACACGGCGCTCAAGAATGGGGTGAAAGGGATGGGGAAGGGAGGGTCACCACACCTCGTTGGTGATTGGTCGACAGCCTCAAACAAAAGCCACCATGCAGGCGTGGATGGTCCCCTATGGGCCATCCACGAAATGGGATGTATGTGCCCCTGTTTCCTGCACGATTCCACGGCGTCGCGGGTTACGACAGTGACGCAGTGGAATCTTGCCAGCCCTGGCCATGTGATTGGGCACGGTGAGTGATTACCTGAAACTGCCCAATCACTTGCCAGCTTGACAGATGATGGCGACAACACATCAAGTCAGGTACGTGTGTGGATACAGTAAAGATGCCATTTCCCGTGATTGACGGTGACGGCGGATTGGCGGGAAAATTTGTTTTCCGGATAAACTGAATCTAGGCATTTTCGCAACTACACCTGTACCTGTTGACAGCTATAACGTTATGCGGAAGCGATTAAAGCTTGAACTACCAACTTAACTTGGCAACACTTAACATCACTTGCAGCCCTTCGAGTGTGACAACTTGTCACCTCCTAGCCAAGGGCGTAGAAAATAGCAAGTGAGTAGTTATGCCTTGCTCAGCTTGTAGGACGAGCAAACTGGTCGAGAAGAATTTCGGCAGCACCAGGGTAATATTTCTACTCTCGTCAATACGAAGTAGTAGAATGCGAGCTTGAAAAAAAACGCGAATGCATTAGATTAATTTCGGCAGGTACAAGCACACATTTATATAGATTCTACGCACAGGCAGGAGCAACTAGAAAACTGTTGTTTAACTGGCTCACAGGATTTCGCCACGCTGTATCTTGAAAACAGTTGCACAACTCCTTGAGCATTTGGCTATATCCTCCTGTTGTTAAAAACTGTCTTCAAATTGCACTTGTAACAATCGCCCCTGCTGACTCAAATGTGTACACTCATGAGACTCGCATGTGGCTCCAATGTAGCTCAAATGTCTTCATGCGAGCTCACAGTTATATAACGGTTTTTACCGTTTGAAAAACGGAGTAACCGAATTGCACCTGTGTCGAAATGATTCCGCAAGGCGGAATGACTTTCGCGAGAATTTTTCCGTCCCGTGAGTCAGCACGGGATACAGTTTTTCAACTGTAATCCCGAGCACCCCCCTCTGCCACACGAACGACCGAGACTTTTTCTCGGTCGTGCTGTACAGCGCGCCATGATCGCAATCATGCGCGTGTACAGTCCAGGACAGGGCCGAAACGCGCCCTGTCCTGTTGCGATCGTGCTGTACAGCACGCTCGCAACAGTACGTGGCACACGCGCGTGCCCTGCGGTCCCACACGCGCGTGCCTGGACCCACGATCGGGTCTTGACTTTCGCGCTTTTGACCAGCGCGAGAAAAGTCAAGGCACCCCTTGACCAGTCAAAGAACCGAGCACCCCTCGGTACACCACCCGCTCACATGAGGCTCCAATAAGTCTCGCATGAAAATTCGAGACTCATGGGACTTTCATGGTCGCTCGCATGAGCCTCGCATGAAACATTTAAGTCCCATGCGAGCTTCGTTTGAGCTCCATAAGATCTTCATTTGAGCCTCATTTGAGAGCTTCGCATGAGCCTCATTTGAGCGTGTCATGAGGGCCTCATTTGAGAGCTTCGCATAAGCCTCATTTGAGCGCGTCATGAGGGCAGTGAAAACGAAACTGAAAATGCACAAACACAAAATGCAATTACAAATGAAAACGAAAGACACAAAATGCAAGAATAAATGCGCACAGAACATCGCAAGATGAAAGTGAAAAATGCGCACACACACAAAATGCAAAATGCGACGCAGGCGGCTGGTTGACGTGCAAAAATAAAGATTTGCACCCAACAAACTCCCCCTCAAGCAGTCGCCTGCTTGCACTCACATTCATGAGCCTAGTTAAGGCTCATGCCACTCAGCTTAGCACAGCGCCAATGAGGTTCCTCAGCCAGCCGCTTCGTGAGGAAATCAGCCGGCTGCTGCTGCGTTTTCACGTAGAGAGGCTCAAGGGTACCCCTCTGCACTTCCTTGCGCAGCCAATGCCACTTGATGCGCATGTGCTTGGTAAGCCCATGCAGTACCGCGTTCTTGGCCATGGAGATGGCACTGGTATTGTCACAGAAGAGTGGGGTTGGTGCCTTCTGCTCATGCCCAATCTCCTCCAGCAGCTTGCGCAGCCAAACCAGCTCCTTGGCCACGTGGTACATTGACATGTACTCAGCTTCAGCAGATGATCCTGCAGTTTCAGCGTGCTTCTTCGACCTCCAGCTCACAGGTCCTCCCCCAATCACACACAGGTATCCACCCACTGAAGACATGTCCTCTTTCTCTGAAGCCCATGATGCATCAGCAAAACCTGTAAGAAACAACTCCCTCTCTCCCAAATGCTCCCCCTTCTCCTTGAGAACTTCTACTCCCTTCTGCTTCCTTTGTGCCATAGCAGAGTACTGAACTCCAACAGTGGGGTAGGAGTTCAAGTACTGGATGATTCGATCAGCTGCATCCACCTGCTCTTCGGTTGGATTCTGCACCACCCTAGCCAGCTGCCCCACTGAAAATGATATGTCCGGCCTGGTGTGCACTGCTGCATAAAGCAAGCTCCCCACCACGGACTGAATCCGTGCTTGCTCTCGCTGATCCACCCCCTCGTTCTCTCCGGCTTTGACAAGCTTGAACTCGGATGGAAGTGGTGTTGCCACCTTCCTCCCGACTTCAATCTCATACTTCTGCCCCATGTCCTTGATGAAAGTGAAAAATGCGCACACACACAAAATGCAAAATGCGACGCAGACGGCTGGTTGACGTGCAAAAATAAATATTTGCACCCAACAGTACCCTCTACTGTATGATTCAATTCAGGGTCCCCAAGCAAAAACACGCTGGAAAATCAGGCCTAGTACAAAAAACACGCTGGAAAATTAGGATAGGCATGGAAAAAAAATTTCTCATCAGCGCTGGGTCCAAAAAACACCCTGAGAATCAGTGTTCAAAGCCCAAATCTGGGTAAAATTCCTGCAATCTGAGGGCCTGAGAGAGAATCTCCCCCTCAGCAGCAAATGTGCCAGTGTTCTCGGCATTCTCCCCCTCAGCAGCAAATGTGACGGCGAAGCTGCTGTGCCGCCATGGCACCAGCGTAGATCTCTGCCTCTGCATTGGACGAAACCACAGACAACGACCGTGTAGACCTCCACGACACAGCACCAACACCCAGACTGAGAGGGTGAGAGGAAACGGTGAGAGACGACTCAGGAGGTGAGGGGAGAACAGACACA